CCAAGGCAGCTATAATTTTATTCTCTAATCCACCACTAGATGTCAGTAGCTGTTCGTTTTTCAAGTTTTCAAGTAAAAAAAATTTTTTCTTGTAGTTTCCTCAATACTCTTTCAAAGGGAAGGTTAACAATTTCCACATTTTTCAGATTTATCCAGACTATAGTTTTATATTAAATTCCATTTCAATATATTTCTCTTCCCTATAAAAATTAGAGCTGCTTTCATCTATGGAAGGGTGGGGCGATCCCCTTCCTTCTCACTTTCGGAGGATTTTTGTTTCTTGGGGATCTTTTCCAGGAAATTAGTTGCAAAATAGAAGAAAAAAAAAGATTGATATTCTCACCCAGTTTCCAACACACTGTTCACAGTTGTTCTAGTTGATACTTTTGGACTTCGGCTGCCGATAGCTTGGGCTAGTCACCAAGGTGCAGCTAGCCTTTCTCCTGTCAGTTTGGAGGGCTTTCCCTGGATCAAATGGATCGACTGCCATCTTTCTGTGATCCACGGGGGAGGGACCCTCCTTCTTTGTTGCCCTTCCAGGGTGACTTTAAACCCATTTAGGTTCCCCTGGTAGGGCAAAATCAGCTGTGGGGTTCGGAGCCCTGCAATCCCTTGGTCGTGTCACCACGACACAAAACTGGAAGCCCCAAGACTGCATTTTAAGAGTGACCCAGTGCAAAGAATGTAGGTTGTAGATAAAAGTTTAACTCCTGGTTTAGAAATTAATTACTCACTGAAACTGCCCCAATGTTGTTTTAAGCACATTTATTTCCTTTATGTAAAGTGAGGACAACATTTAATGATTCAGAAAGTGCATAATATATTGGCTATTCTGCATACATTATATTTCTAAAGGATTTTTCCCTCAAATAATTGCCTGTGAATCAGAAGATCTCTTTTATTGACGAATAAGAACAAAGCCGCTAAAATTGAGAGCGTTAAATGGCTTTAAGAAAAATAACCCAGCGGGGTGGCAAAGGGTTTAAAAAAAATAAAAGTAAAGATGGTAATTGCAGCTATGCAATTGAAGCTCCACTCCTTTATTTTATTCAGTTTGTATGCCACACATTATTTTAAGATTGTTTGCTGGGAAAGCAATCTTAAGGTAATTTTAAATTGACAAGCAACAATTAGAAATTAAATTTTCCATCACAAATACAAAAGTTAAAATACACAGCAGCCGAGGAAGATGTCACAATCAATAGTTGTTAGCACAACCAGGAGATGGGACCCTTCACACACTCAAGGCAATGGGCTGAAGAACACAATCATGTCTTTAAGTCCTTGTGAAAGATTAGCAAGGTCAGAGCCATTCTAATCTTTTGAACATATGTGTGATATTGATGCATGTACAACAGGAACAGGGCTTCACTTGTGTTGTAACGTGATAATCATCTTGGCTTTTTGGAATCTCCTTGCAAATTCCACTATGGCATTGGTGGCGAACCTATGGCACGCGTGCCAGAGGCGGCACTCAGAGCCCTCTTGTGGGCATGTGCGCCATCGCCTCAGCCCCACCTCCTCCCGCAGCCCCCCCAGAGGAGAGTCACTCCCGAGCACGACCCACACAGAGCAGCGGAGCCAAGGACATGGCAGCCAGGCAGTGGGGACAAGACTCCGCCCTCCCACCCTGTCGTGGGCAGTTGATGCTGCGGGGTGCGGGCAGAGGGTGTAGCTGCCATGGCACTGCTGGGCCACCTGGGCGATTGGTGGGCTGTGGAGGTGGTGGGTGGCCCTGTGGGTGGGCAGAGCAGGGGGTGGCGCAGGAGTGCAAGATGGGGGCGGGGCAGGTTTTTGGGCACTCGGTCTCTAAAAGGTTCACCATCACTGCACTATGGTAATCCCTTATCTGAGTTAGTGCGTCATAGTGAGTTAGTCATTTCAAACCAGAGATCTGTGTAGCTTGCAATAAGAGGTCAAACAATAAGTTTAAAAGACTTCAGACAGCTTCAGTGAGGGAAGGACTATACAGAAGGACTAAGTGAGTAGAGTTCACTTTCATGTGACATGAAAGGGTGAACATCACTCACTTAAAAAAGCCATCATAGATGGCTGTGTAAGTCAGTTTTGTAAAAGCCACTAAAAAGAAAAAAAAAGTACCCTGCCATGGAACAGACAACAATACCGGATCTTCTGTCCTACTGGCACCTACTGTCCATTTTTCTCCGAAGAAACGTACACAAAACAAATTTGTTTATGACAGATCACTTCAAAGAACACCTATTTCTAAACACTGTCACTGCATATACTTCAGAAATATACACTGGGAAATATATAGGTAGTCCTTGAATTGCAGTTGTTCTTAGTGACTGTTTGAAGTTACAACAGCACGGAAAAAGTGATGTATGACTGGTTTTCACATTTATGACTGTTGCAGTGTTCCCATGGTCATGTGATCAAAATTTGGGCACTTGGTAACTGGCATGTATTTATCACAGCTCCATTGTCCCGGGTTCATGTGATCACTATTTGTAATTTTCCCAGATGTTTTCTGACAAGCCAAGTCAATGGGGGGAAAGTCAGATTCACTTAACTGCAGTGATTTCCTTAATAACTACGCCATTAAAGCAGTGGTAGGATTCAAATATGTGAACAACCGGTTCTCTGCATGGATGCTTCTGGAAGTCCATTCTGGGCCTGGGCAACCTAAAATTAGCTACCAGTTCTACCGAACTGGTGCGAACCGGCTAAATTTCACCACTGCATTAAAGGTTGTAAAATGGGGCAAACCTCACTTAACAACTTCCTTGCTTAGCAATGAAATTTTTGGGCTCAATTGTGGTTGTAAGTCGAAAACTTACCAACTGCCAACGGGTCCATCAACAAACACCAATATTGACTTAGAACCAATGTATGAACCAATAAGGAAGAGGATCATCTGAGCCACCAATCAATGACAGAACTGACCACCCTCTCACCAGTTGAATTTCTTGCCTCACAGACACCAGTCAGAAGTCACAAGACCATAATCAGTCCTGTGATTCAATCAGTCTTATGACTCAGTCAGTCTTGTGATTCAATCGGTCATAAGACCAACCAACTACCCAGGACTTATGTAAACAAACAAGACACTTCACCCCAAACCCCACTGAAGATGTTACCTAGTTTGGTAACAAAACATCCGGGAGCCAAGCAGCAAGGCTTGGAAGACGTTAAATCTCTGCCTAAATCTACAACCCCAGCTACGAATATTCTCTACAATTTCAAAAACTATCTTTATATTATGTAACAAAGAATTACGTCAAATAATTTTGCAATTTTTTAAAAAAAATCTTAGATAATTAAATTTAAGAACTACATAGAACAAAGAATTGTATGCAACAGTTGTAACGTTAGAAAAGGCTACAAAAGAAAAACGGAGACAGATTTTTAATCAATTTGTTTTCATCTATTTTTCAAACAGGAAAAACTCAAGGTCAAGGTAAAGAGGGTATTCCCTAAATACCTCTGCAAGCTATTTTTAAAAGGCACTGTTTTATTTTTCTACCACTTTTTGGCAATGCATGTGTTTTGCAACTTTGAACGCTGACTTCCACCTCATTCAGATTATGAACAAGTCTTATATATATGTGAGAAGAATTGAGTTTGGCTGCACTCTTGTGGTGATGCAGGGAACTACATATTATTTGTTTTTCTATTTCTTGATATGAAAGAAGATCATCACAGTGATTATAATTTTTAAACAACATTATTATACTATTTTAATATTCATCACTGTAATATAGGATGAGAAAAGATAACTTCACAAACTTCTAACAGATGCTAACCCAGTTGTTAATGTAATTGGGAAAACAAAAATCTAGACGAGATCTACATAAAGTTTGTTTTTGATGTACTTTTGCCTCATTCAATAATAAACTCAAAGAACAGTCTTGATTTTATTGATCCCCTACTTTATTTATTATTTTTTCCACATCTTTACTTTACATTTGCATGGCATGTTGCATAGTACTTGAAAGATATTGGAAGACTAACAGTTGAAGTTGAACTGAAGGGACATCTGCAGGAATGAATCCAAAAAAAGTAGAGAATGGAGCTTCAATTGCACAATTGTGGTTGCCATCTTCCTCCTCCTCCTCCTCCTCCTCCTCTTCCTTCCTTCCTTCCTTCCTTCCTTCCTTCCTTCCTTCCTTCCTTCCTTCCTTCCTTCCTTCCTTCCTTCCTTCCTTCCTGATACCCCTCACAAGCATTTCCATTTTGTAGTGGCGTGATGTTAGCATGGTATCTGTGAGGCAGACATACTTGTGCTTGCATCTTTGATTAGACTTATCTATTATACTGAATGAAAATGAGCTGGGTTTTATCTGAATCCAGGATTTTTATTTACAAATCACATTTTCTAGTTTAGTGTTATTTGTTTTATTTGTTATTGTTACTGTGAAGCCACACAATTGTGGCAATAAAGTTTCAATAAACAAGCCTAGGCTTCATACAGTGGGTCAACATAATCTTTCAGCATTATCTTACTTTATCTTTTTGTGCTTGATCTTTGGCTGTCTTTCAACTTTGCTAAACAGGATTAGAGATATTTATAAACTGTCTTGTCACCCAGAGCAGGATGGTTATATTAATTATAAGACAAGTGTCAAATTTTTAAATGCTATTTCACATATACAATACATTTCATTCAAATGATTCTGAGAGAGGAACAGAGGAAAACAATTCTGTCTTCTTTATTTCCTATTTATATCTGAATTCCCCCCCCCTTTTTAAAAAAATATCATGAATTCAAAAAAAATTCTGCAGTCTCAACATGTTACATTCTTCTTTTGCACAAAGCATAAGATTCCCCCAGTTGTGTTGATTCCTAGCAGAACAATGTATTTTCTCAAGGGTAACATGATTTTCAGGACTTCTTTTGCAATAATGGAATGGAACCACCTTATTTCCTTATTTATGAATTTAGATTCAAAAAAGGAAGTGGTGAAGCTGAGCTACTTGATGACAGGTTTTCTGAGAAAGAGACCGTTCGCTCACACCGGAAGCTTTGCCGTCTTCAGTTGCAGCACACTTTGAAGGAAAGCCCAAACCTAGGAGTTCAATTTTCATTTTAAATTAATTCCGTGGATCTGCTGTATTTTTCCTGTCTCTGTTGCTGCTGGGAAAAATATCCTACAGTGTGTCACAGCCAAAGGTTAACATGTTTTGCTTCCTAACTGACTAACCAGAAACAGAAATGGATTTACGAAGCACGCCCTATCGTTCCGAAGTGGCCCGCTGGTCGCCCAATGACTTGGCAGACTACTTTAGGAGGGTAAGTTTCATTTTAATTGAACAGTTTCAACCTTACCATTTCCAATTAGGATTCCCAATTTTCTCAATTGGAAAGTCTGAGTTTCTGTCTGTTTTCCTCCTATCCAGAAAACACATTTTTCCATACATATATATTTTATGTAATTTCGGCTTTCCAAAGTAATCCTTCCCAAAGAATTCCACCTCTTAGCTTGCATCTAGGGAAATATAGATGTATTATTATTATTATTATTATTATTATTATTATTATTATTATTATTATTATTATTATTATTATTATTATTATTATTATTATGATGTGTTACACTCTCTCCACTTATTTGTAATAAGAGCCTGGAATTCTACCGGTTGGCAATAAAGTCATATGGTTTCTCTGTATAATTAGAGTGAACGACTGCCATTCCAGATTCAAAGTTACAAGTGGCCAAATTATTTACATCCAATCTGTATCATAATCTGAATCTATCTTGGCCTTAAAGGCAAGGCTAATTCTTTTTTTCTCTCTCTCTTGGCCTATACATTCTACACAGAGAGGCAGCATTTCTGCCTCAAAGCAAAGCTTGAGGCTTAGCTGACTTTTGATTTGAAGGGCCACAGTTAAAGGCTTTAAAGCAAAAGACTCACAATTCTCACCATTCTCTGTGGGGATTAATACCTAGCAAGAAAAAGAGGTATCTGGTTGTGCTTTGTAAAGTTCTTTGAGAAGGCTTTCTTGCATAGCATGGTGTTTTAGCTTTTTAACTATTGGAAGAAGGATATGAATCAAACTGCAAAGAGCTATTGCTGTGCTAGGGAGAGGACACATATATGATCACACATTGGTGCTCTCCTTTCAGTGTAGCAACTATGGAATGCTGCTTATGTTTCTCATAAAATGCCATCTCTCCTTCCCCCAAATTTAATTAGAGTGTGCATGGATTGTGTAGTATACTGCAGAGCTTTGAACATAGCTAACACTGGGCAGCATTAAAAACAGTTTAACTCCAGAAATAGTTTGCGGTCTCACTAAATTTCCTCCTATTCCTCCATCCCTTTATGTCAATCACTCTCTCTTTAAAATCATGTTAAGTATGATAAGTGACTAGAGATGCTACATAGACATCCCAAATAGTAGCCATGCAGTAGTAGTAGTAGTAGTAGTAGTAGTAGTAGTAGTAGTAATAATAATAATAATAATAATAATAATAATAATAATAATAATAATAATAATAATAATAATAATAATAATAATAATAATAATAATAAAGTTGGAAGGGACCTTGGAGGTCATCGAGGTCAACCCCCTGCTCAGGCAGGAACCCTACACCATTTCAGACAAATGGCTGTCCAGTCTCTTCTTAAAAACTTCCAGTGTTGGAGCATTCACCGCTTCTGGAGGCAGGTTGTTCCACTGGTTAATTGTTCTAACTGTCAGGAGACTGTCAGAACTGTCTCCTTAGTTCTAAGTTGCTTCTCTCCTTGATCAGTTTCCACCCGTTGCTTCTTGTCCTGCCTTCAGGAGCCTTGGAGAATAGCTTGACTCCCTCTTCTTTGTGGCAGCCCCTGAGATATTGGAACACTGCTATCATGTCCCCCCTCGTCCTTCTCTTCATTAAACTTCTCTTCTCTTCGTTAAAAGTATTAGGGCCAATAGTTCAGGCTCAGCTTGATGAAGTTTTCAGGAGACACAGTGCTTCCTGCCTTGACTGCACTATGTGGCTACGACAACTTAATTTATTTTTCCTACAACTCATAGCAATGTGCTTCCGCAGATGAATATCATGTTAGCAGTCACAGAGAAGTTAAACCAAGTGGCAGACTTCATTAGAGAAGAGTGGAGACAGCAGGAACACTGACAATTACACTACCTTAGACTTACAGGTCTTCTAGCTTTGACAGATTCAATTAGTCTCTTTCAGCTTTATTATACCCTCAGGCAACAGTCAAGAATAAATCAAGCTCCAGTGACAACTTTGCAGTGGCCCAGCAACAGACTACAACTCTGTGTAGTTCAAATGAATGTACAGATTAAGCTCTTTGTCAAACTTGAGGAAGGATTTCTTGTTCTCTCTCTTTTTTTTTTACTAATTGCTTTAGTATACCCTTCTTGCATTGCCTTTACAGAGTTGTGGACTATACTCTTTTTATGAAAAATCTCAGCAGACAACCAGGCTTTGCATAAAATATCTGGTCTTGCACAATCAGGTTTTGCACAAAATATTGCACAAAGCCACATAATATTGGACTTGCTGAAAGAGCTTGATTTTCATGCCCTTTCATCTTAAAAGCCAAATTTCTTTCATGTGGTTCTCCATTACAGTATGAGTTTACAGTATTAATAGTGAACTTAATAGTGATCATCTTCCTTTTCAGCCCTTACCTGTTTCTTTAAATGGAGGTAGTGGGGGCTGAACTTGGAAACTTTCGAATGTAACATTCATTCCACTAGCTTCCTCCAAAATTATACTAACCATATTTTTTGGGAATAAATGAAGGACAAATCTAAAAAGGGCACAAATCTGAAAGAGATTTATAAGGATAAAAAAAATCAATTGTATATATTTATAACTTTGCCTTACAAAGACAGTCTAAGAGCAAGATCAAGAAAAAAAAAACAAATCTAAAACTCAGCTTTCTGAAATAAAGGATTGTCTTTTGTAATAAAGGACATCTGGTCACTGTATCCAAAATACACCCAGGATTCAGATGAAAGTGGTGTTCTTTTTAAAATAGGAATAAAAAAAATTGGCTGTAAGCCACTCAAAGACATGTATTTGACATGGGTGGCTATATAAATAGAAAGAAAGAAATGAGAAAGAAACAGATAACAAAGACAAAAATCTTACATAGTACCAGATTTCTCCAACTTGACCATTGCAGCTGAAGATTTTTCCTTCATAAAGGAACGTACAATAAACATTTGTACACAAACCCTTATCTAGGTGGATACATATATGTGTGAGTATCTATAATTGCCATGGAAAGGCTAGTACATTGAATTAATATATACGGTACATATGATATAAATTAAAATGAATTGCTTATATAGTAAAATACCATATTTATAAAATTAATTGATCCTCAGTTTGCCAGCCTTTCAGTGTATACAAATTGCTGTCTCACACAGAAGCACAAAAGTGCGTGTGCACACACACACACACACACACACACACACGAACACACATAGTCTTATACAGTGCTTTTTTCCTAAAAAAAAAAAAAGATGCCGGAACTCACACATGTCATACAACCCGCCTTGCCTACCCTACAAGGTTGTAATGTAACTTGAATTACTGAATTCATTGAAAACTGAGCTTAAATTTAGAAAAAAAACAGAACATCGTTTCTATGTCTTAGTTTACCGCATATACAGTTTGTCTGAGCTTAAGTCTTAACATATCCAGTTAACATAATGAGAACAAAAGCTCTTCAAAGTTTAAGAGAGGGATTTTTTTTTCAGCATGATTTGTGAGAAGCCCTTTGTTAACCAAACTTAAGTAGCTATATTATTTCAATTCAAACTATCATCCAGCAGTTCCCACTGTTGGAAGACATTTTTGTGGATGAATGTCAACCTCTTGATGCATGTGCAAAACACTCTGTTTGCTCTTGGGACTCCTGGAGAAAACATTAAGACAATATAAAGTAATAACTACTTTAGTTACTTCTTCAGTTCAATGAGAAGAATTATGTTGCCTCTGTAGTGTGACACACCTCCTCAGCTTGAAATCACAGTCACTAGCAAAGGCCTAATGAGATTGTTCTGCACTCAGATTTGCTTTTGGGTGGTCAGATAATGGCTATACACAGGAGAAACCATTAAACATATTATCAATATTTATACACTTTTGCAATCAAATTCTGAATAGTGTATAGCAAGGCAAACAAAACAACACAAACTAAAACAATACAGAATATGAATTAGTATACTAATATAATGAATCCCACTATTATTCAAAGTCAAAGGCATGTTAGAATAGGACAGTTTTCAATTGCCTTAGGGAAAACCAGGAAGGATGGGGCCAAATGCTAGCTAAGGACTTCTGGGAGTTGAAGTCCACACATCTTAAAGTTGCCAAGTTTGAAAAATATTGCTTTAGAACAGACATGTCAAATTCGCGACGTCGTGTGATGTCGCACAACATATCGGAGCTTTTTCGCCATTGTTGGCAATAGGGTGGGCGTGGTTTCCTGATGACACGTCCGGCCCACAGGCCAGCAGTTTGACACCCCTGCTTGAGAGAGTGTACTGAAAAAAAACTGCTTCCTGACCCACATTGGGTGTACCTCTTAGGGCAGGGGTGTCAAACTCAATTTCACTGAGGGCCGCATCAGCATTGCAGTTGCCCTCGGGGGGGCGTGGGGGTGTGGGCAGGGTGGGTGTGGCCTACTGGGTGGGTGTGGATGGAGTGAGTGTGGCCTATTGGGTGGGCAAGGCCAGCTCTACATCGTTTGATTCAAGGGTGCCTGTGGGGGCCTGGGCAGGAGTGGGACAGATCTGAGGGTCTCTGGCAGAAGGGGGTGGGACCGGGGCAAGTGCCAAGGCATGGTCCACTGGAGGAGCCTCACTGCCTGCTGAAACCCCTCCCCTGGAGCCCATCAAGCCGGATAGGTGAAGTAGGCGAGGGCCATTTGCTGACCACTTCCAGGTGATGGTGCATTTTTTCATTCCTCACAAAGGGTGACACTTCCCCAGCATGCACCCAGGGTGCGGGGGCGACACGGCAGGGGCTGGTTCCTCACTGTTTCCAGATGGCCTTGTGGAGCTAAGACTGAATGCGTTTCAGCATAGATGGCCACCACAAAATTGTACATTGGCTCCCTCCTGGCCGGTCTGGCCAAGGCAGTGGGGGCCATTCCCTCACTGTTTCCAGGATGGCTTCACAGGCCACATGAAACCACTTCACGGGCTGCATCCGGCTCCCGGGCCTTGTGTTTGACATGTCTGTCTTAAGGGGATAGGAACCTCAGCAAGCCCTCACTAGATATTCAGACATGATGGGTAGACTTATTTTGGCAAGATGGTTCCTGATATATATGGATATGTTATGCCATTTGCAGCTTTATAAGTGATACTTTAATAACTCTGCAGTAGTAAGCTGGGTCTTCCAGAAGTTTAGCAGTTGCATTCTGTACCAGCTATGAGTTGTCTCCAAAGGCAGAGCCAGATAGAATACCTTGCAGTAATTCAGATGTGTACTGATGTTGGTGCAAGTTATCTTTGTTGGAACATCCTGACTGAACATTAGCCAAAGTTGGGGAAAAGCCCCCTTCAATCTGCTATTTTAAAAGAAAACAAACCAATCAAATAGAAAAGCAAATATATTAATAGGGATTTTCTAAGGCTAAATAAGTTGTGAAACTTTACAAGTTATGAAGCTGTACAGAAGATGCGTTTCTCTGAACTGCTACTTAAACGGCAATAAAAAAGAAAAAATCACATAGCACTCTTCTCACTGTGAGTAGTTACGATATTTGAGCTAAAATTATATGATCACTTCTGCAATTAAGGTTTATTTTTTAAAATAAAAAACCTCTTATCAGGTTAGATCAGTATTTGAAAGCTTTGACAAATTGTGTCTTTAGCCTTTCAGTTCACGATGATGAAACAGCCTTGAAAACTACTGTCTGACTACTAACATTATAGAAAAAAATATGCAATCATAATTCCCACTGAAGTTAGTGTTATTTCTGAAGAAGCACATCTAATTTGCAGCCATAAATCAATTATGCTTTATTCAGACATTTTAAATCTGGTTACAAATATGCTTGTAATTATTAACAGTACAAGCTTAACAATGTAAAATTGTGCATAACGTCTGAATTTGATGGTATTTACTCCCCAAAAGTATGAGTAGAAGATGGCAGGCTAACAGTGATTTATCATTTTTTTTTAAAATTTTTATTATTTTCAAGTATAACAAAATATAAACATAAACTTGATGCATATAAATACAAAACATCAATACACAAAAGAAAAGATACTTTACGGGTGATCCCGGCTGCCCCCTCTCTGCTTCCCCCTCTTTCACCTACCAAGCCTTCCTCCCTCTAGACTCTCAACCACTCCACCTTCCTCCTTCCACTCCCTACTTCCCAACCTCTTTCTCAAGCACCAACCAGAAGCAGTTTGGGGTAACAGCCAGGATCATCCTCATNTTATAAAAATTAAATAATTAATCAAAAGCAAGATGATAGTTTCTCAATTCATATTTTTTCTGAATATAGTCTATCCATCTTCTCCATATCAGGATAAATGTCTCCTGTGAATGATCCTTCAGGTATGCGGATATTTTAGCCATTTCTGCAAAATATGAGACTTTCTGTCTCCAATCATCCATAGTTGGTAGTGTCTTTTATCATTAACAATGTTTATTTTCATTTGCAGTTAAACTTCAAGGACTGCGAGAAAGTTGTTCGGAAACTTAACATAACTGGACAAAGATTTCTGGTAAGTTTTTCAATACTTTTATAGACTTATAGAATATAAAGTTGGAAATGGACATAAGGATTATTTAATCCAATTCTCTAGAAAGTTCAGGAACACCATTTAAATCTGGTTACAAATTTTCACAAAGATATGTCAAAAGATTTAACTTCTTTGGCTAGGCCAGTGATGGTGAACCTTTTAGAGACTGAGTGCCCAAACTGCAACCCAAAACCCACTTATGTATCGTTGGGTGCCGGGTGGGCGTGGCCCATTGGTTGGGTGTGGCTGCGGTGGTAACAGCAGACTGGGTGGGACTAAAAAGTTCAATCAATCAATTCCAACTTTGCGAGATCTTTTTTTCCCTGCGAAAAGTTGAAATTGATTGATTGATTGAATCTTTTTTTTTTTGCACACGGCGGCGGAGGCCTAAAGCGAAAAGGTTTTATAAAACCCAACTGAAGGCCTAGGACTGGGGCAATGGCGCACGTGCCCACAGAGAGGGCTCTGCGTGCCACCTGTGGCACACGTGCCATAGGTTCGCCACCACAGGGCTAGGCAATCAGTTAATCAATCAACTGTTACTGATGGATAGTAAGTAAGCTAATAAAAAACAAAGAGGTATTGGTGAATACTTAGGGAAGAAGATGAAGGGATGAGGAAACAGCATGTGTTACAAGTTACATTTAAGCAAATATCACTCTCATGTGACCATTGCAATTCTATTTTTATTTTATAATAAATAACCAAAACTATGTCACATGCCTAATTATAGTATTCTGTATTTTTGTTTCAGAACATGTCTGAAAATGATATTCAGAAGTTTCCAAAGCTAAAAGTTCCGTAAGTAAATCACATCCGTTTTAAAATCTGATTCTGTCACCAGTAATTTGATGCTAAATATGTGGAAAAGAAAACGATCACAATCCAACTAAAAAGAAAACTAATTCCTTGAACACAAGTTCTGCTCATGCTCTCTAGATGCTTCTCTCCCCCTCCCCCCACTGAAATTGTCTTGCCCTGGATCAGATAAAATTAATTTCCTTTCAGTGAAGATGTAGAGATGAGGAGCAGAAAACTACTTCTGAAAGATACAGCAAATGTTGGCCTAAAAAGGAAATATTATTGGAATCTACATGAGAAATAGATACAACTAATAAAAACCTTTTCTAATTTAAATAACTTGGTCAGACTCCAAACCGAGTTTATTTATTTATAAATAAGTATACTTAAAATAAAGAACTTGTGTAGAATCTAAGTTGAGTTGTATTCAGATTTTATTCAAGTCAGTAAGAATAAGTCATGGACACCTTTTTGTACAAATTACTATGGGACCTTAAAGCAGTGGACTTAGATGCCATTGATGCCATTATCATTGTCTAACATTTATTATGGAATAAAAAAAAATAGAAATAATGATAAGGTGAAAAAAAATTACTTCACATTTTTATAGCCAAATAGAGTGTCCTTTTTTTCTTCCTAGTATAAAGCTGGTCATAAAGCTCCAATTTCAATTATATTACAAGAAATGTCAGGAACATCTAAAACTTTCACAATATTTTTTTTTACTTTTCACATCAGGGAAGGATAGAAATGCATGGAGAGCAATCAACTGTGTTGGTATAAGCTTGATTTAGCTATACTTCCTTTTCTTATCCACTTCATTTAATATGTTTTGTTTACTACTTCTTTCTTCTCTGCTATATATAACACCGCTTATTACCCCAAAAAGGAACAACACGTAAAACATGTAAGACTGCATGTCTAAAATTTAATTGTTATCAAGCAAAAAACATTCATTCCTGTCTTCTATGGTAGGCAATTGGTATGAATATGTAAATGGCATTATCCACTGATATTTTGACTCATAGGCTTAATGGCTTTTTAAAAAAAAATTAAATCATTCTGACACTATTATTGTCCTTGTTTAATTGCTTCAAAAGTGGTGTAGTTATACTGAAGTTCTGCTACGTGCTTTTTTTTTAAACCTAAATTATTGCTATGGGATCTTTGCAAATTCACACAACAATTTATTGAGGTTGTTTTGGTACATTTAGGGAATATAAATAATCTTCTGGTACAAATGCAGCACTCTGTAGAATTCCAGTTTCTGAAATATGTCATAACTGTCCCTGGCTGCTCCGAATATAGCCCAGAACTGTTCAAGCATCCTAGGCAGAACTCCTTCTGGATGAGAATTCTGAAACTTTTAGTATCAATATATATTGAGGACTCCAGGATGTGGAGTGCTGTAGTACATAAACGCTCGCTTGATCTTTTTTTGCAGTATTTTGATATGGTTTTTCCTTTCAGTGGCATGTGCTTTCCTGTCTCAGCTTTACCATCTAAAATAGCTTCAAGATCACATGTTTTACAACACACAATATCACCTTCTTTTATTACCACCCACATATTAGTTCTCTTCCCCCCATTTATAGTTCTTTTGTTTTTTTCTCAACCATCTCGACAGTGGCAATATTAAGAGTGGGAGGAAGAACATAACTGAGAAAGAATTACTGTTTTTCATTGGCCTTATTCAGGAATCATTCAGACTGACCAATCAGAGGTTCAGATTGACTTTGCTTTAGATAATGGAAAAAGCTCTGGGAAAGCTTTGTTGGTTTCTGCCCATAAGAGAATAACATAGCACCTGAGAATCATACTTGTGCCACAAATATTCTGTGGGATTTGATTAACATGTATGAACTAGGTCAAATAGAAAAGACAGGAGACATACAAGAAGCCTGTTTATTGCATGAGGTTTGGAAGCCCTGTGCATACATGACATGGGATAAATCATGTGAACTCATGTTCTGCATTATTACATTGTGGTCACTATTTGTTCTCTGTTCGTGTTTTTGCTTTATTCTGGCAGATTGCCAGACACAGACAATACATCGTCGTGTTTTGCAGGCAGATTGACAAATGCAAAAGAGTGCATTGCGTGTGGCCTTACAAATAGTGTTGCTGTTGCTCATTCAGGTTGCTAAATATAAAAACTATGTTGCTTTGAAATAATAGAAAATGCTTGTAGCTCGGGTTTAAGATTTTGGCAGTGGTTTTGCTCTCCAAGCTTATTTCAATTTATTTTCTGAACGTTTCGTTACCAGTCTAGGTAATATCATCAGCAGGATTTTCCTGTCCTATTCTCCTTAGCTTATAAAAATCTTGTGTCCTAGTGTGGTCAGTTGGTCGTGTGATTGGTTGTTCATTTGGAGCTATATTTAAATTCTGAGCAGCTGATTGGTTCTCTTGTTGATTGATCATTGGAATGGTCTGCTTTCTTACGTATTCATATGCTGGATCTAGATCAGTATGCTTGTTAATTGCTCCTTTGATGGAATGTCAGGACTCAATAAATTCCTGTGTGTGGCAAGTGTTGGCATGCCCAATGATTTTTGTTCCTTCCCAATCGAACTGATGTTTTTTATTATCAATGTGGTTTGGGGGTCAGGGATTTGTGGTTGTGCCATTTTAACTGCTGGTTGATGTTCATGAACCCTTGTTTTCAACGTTGCTTTATTTGTTTAAGAAAAAAAAAGTCCCAAACCAATTGCCACTTATATATTTTTATTATTCATAAGGTTTGTTGAAATTAATCTGTTGCTATTGACATCTCTGCTAAATCCAGTTTTATTGCTTTTTCTGCAAGCAGAAGTTTCAGAAACCATCTTTAATGGCTGCTTCCACTGTTTGCTAGGAGATTTGTAAAAAAAATATTCTTTAAATTAATTATCCCCTTAGCTGATTGTGTGTGTGTGTGTGTTGGCTAATACACAGCAGATACTTATCACCTATCGCTCCATTAATTTTAAATACCCAATGACAAGAGCTCTTAAAAATATTTCTAAATCTCATTCTGTTGGAACACATAACATTCAAATCTTCTTATATTTCATTTTATTGCACATTACTATGCATCTATCTACTCATCCATTCACTTACATGTTTGTCAATACCAATGAGTAAACATTTGTCACTCCAAATCACACAAGTAGACAAGATAATAAAAAGCAATGTGAATTATATACAATTTCAATCAAATGTTATCATCCGATTTACCATATTCATTCATTCATATCTTACATATACATGTACTGATTGAATTAATCCATTGTAATAAGCCAATAATATGGTTTGTTTGGTTTTTGTTTAAACTTTATATAACTCTTGAAATTTATCAAGTATAATTTGTAATACAGAGTTATAACTCAGCTGTGGATTATTTAACAGAATGTGGTTTAAACAAAATATTTGTTGTTATTACATGCGGAACCAGCACTCTTCCTTCCCTTTCGCACACATTTATATGCATACACATTTGCCAGGAGACTTTTGCTATATTGATTATGTGCCAAAAGTCAATGTTGACTCTTAGTGATGACGTAGATGGATTTTCTCCAGGATATTAGATCATCCAACATGGAATCCATCACCTTACTGCTTGTCATGCCTGTTATTTTTAAAGCCACCCTTCTTGGCATTATAAACTTCTGGGGAGAGCTGGGCCTTTGCATAATGTATCAAACATATGATAATTTGAGCCTGGTCATTGCGTGTCAAATGAGAACTCTGAATTGATTTGTGCTATGATATATTTGCTTGGTTTCAGGAGTCTTCTTCAACATCAAAAGAAATCAGCATTCTTTCTATTTTACTGTTTCAAACTCTAATTTGCAATTACATAGAATTTCACAGGAAAAGTAAAATGTATGATTCTGATCTTTGTAAGTATAAACACATCCCAGCATCTGAATATCTTTTTCAAGATCTTTATCATGATTCTACCAAATGCTGATCTGTGGGGTTTTTTTTTAAATCGATGGTTCCTTTAGTTTTACATGATTCTAAAGGCAAATGCTATTCAATATTTCGGTGTCTTGGTTGCCAATTATAAGGTCGGTTGCTATATATACAAACGCATTATAAACCATTCTTTTTCAATCAGAATGGCAGAGACTAAAAATTGATTTAAGTTAAAAAATACAATTTACTATAAGGAAACTACTCAGAAGTGGGAAGGTTCATGCTTCAAGTAGCCTTGAAAAGGCTAGTGCCTATGAAAAGTCTTAGAATTGAGTCTTCATTAAGTTGAGCTCAACAGCTCTTGACTTCTTAGACACATCCTTGTAGTTTTCTTGCAACGGTAGGGATCTTTCTCAACTTCATGATTTTGTCTCCAGTTGTGAAGTTCTCTAGTGATCACTGTTCCTACTTAGTTCCCAAGCCCAAGTGAGCATATTGATGTTGACTTAGGATGTCTTGGTTTATCTACTGGGAAACTGCTGAATGGCTGGCAACTACTATATGTATGTTTCTCCCAGCTTCTCTTAGGGAATGAAATTCCAAAATCAGGCTATCTGGAGGGCAGGAAAACAAATAATTACAAGGTCTGGAGACATGGAGAGCTAGGAACTGAGTAGCTACTAATCCAAGAGCTAAAATCTGAAACTTCTGTCCACAAAGAAGGCATGCTATGGGTACTATCAATTAGGGAACCTCAATTTGGTAGGTCCCAGAAGACATTCCTTCTTTGCTGTGGTGCCTGCCTTTTGGAACATCCTTTCATCTGAAACTAGACATGTCCTGTCTCTTTTGATTTTTCAAAAAACTGGTTATGCTGCTAGGCCTGAGGCTCCCAGGAACCAGAGATTTGTCTTGATGGCTCCATTGCTAAGGTGGTCATTTTTACTCTTTGCCTATGGTTAGTACTTTTGTTTTTATGAGGTTTATTACTGTGGCTTTTTATATTTTTACCTGTTTTTATAATGGCTGTTCAATAAATGTTTATGTGCCAAGTCACCTTTTGTAAGATGGCTATATAAATCTGATTAAATAAACAA